GGGGGGCAGGTGGGAGGGGGCGTGGCGTCGCAAGGCGAGAGACGACCCTCTAATGCCAGACGCCTCCCGGGTCCTTCCCTCCGGGGTCGTCTGGAGAGGGACTAGCCCCTTACACCTCGCTGCCAACGAGCTACTGCCCGGATAAATCCTTCAAAGGGAATCTCCAAGGGCCGATTAAAATAAGCCTGAGATTGACTCTGTAAACCTGTAACTACTAATCACAATCATTAAATATTCATGAAGGTTTATCAAATTACTGGGCTTGTGGTTGTGTTCAAAAGTCGATCATTTTTTTAACGGTAACAATAATTTTAACATAACATTCGTTTATGTTGTACAAACTTAATTTTCGAATCCCCAAAACGCGTTTGATCTTAATTTTCATATTGTTTTTCTTTTAATTATTATTGTTAATTTAAAGGAGGAGAGGTTTGTTCTTGCTTATACAATAAAATGTTGCATTTCGTTTGCGGTTGCGATTAACAGCATGGTGGTGTCACTGAACTGTTAATCCAAGAACTTGCTTCTGCTATGGCGTTGGTACGTCTACAAATATCTTCTGTTCTACTGTTAAGTATCTGTACTGAGATCTGGTGTACCCGTGTCCTCGATGTGTGCTGATGATGATGTGCGTGTGTGCACAGGTGCTATGTTTTCAATAAAATTTCTTTACTCCAGTCTGTCTTGAGTACCTGCAATCAGTGTGATCTGATGTCTGTGTTGGGGTGACGTAATGACACTGCAGTGTGCGCACGAGCTATTTTTTCAGTTAATATAATCTGGTTTACTGTTGAGCACTCGTGGAATAATCTGGTGAATAAGTGTGATCGATGTGTGCTGATGGCGGTGTGCTGTGTGTGTGTGCAGGTGCTATGGTTCCATATGTTCTGCTCCACTGTTGAGCACCTGTAGAATGATCTGGTGAATAAGTGTGCTCGATGTGTGCTGACGGCGGTGTGCTGTGTGTGCGCAGGTGCTGTGGTTCCGCAACACCCTGCGCCTGGAGACGTCGGAGCGCCACATCATGGAGGTGCGAGGCTCTCGGCACACGCTCATTCTGCGCAAGGTGCAGAGCAACGACTTCGGCAACTACAGCTGCGTCGCCGACAACAACCTGGGCAAGGCGCGGGAACACCTGCAGCTCTCAGGTGAGCTCATTCTCTCGATTTGTGTTTTCTTAATGTGTGTTTTACATTTGTGTTTTCTTACATTGTTTAGGCAAGTCATTGTTGCAAAGTCTCTTTTTAAGGTACAATTGAAGAAATCGTTTTCAAAAATTCCTTCACGAAGGACACGAAGCAGAATAATAGCCAAACTCTGTAGCTGATTTTGCTTTGCAAATCGTTTTTATACCGCTGGAAAGAAAATTTCCCAAATCTTACCAAAAATTCTCATTTCGTCTGAATTCAGAATGCAACCTAAATAAGGGTTAGGGTAGGGATCCAGAAATTCCAGAAACTGTTTAACACTATTTTGAACAATTAAGCTAAATTTATATCATTGTCTTTCCTAAACATTATGTGTTTTAAGGGAAGCTCTTCAACTTGGTTCATCCAGTTATGCAATTGATTGATTATGTCAGATATAATAGGGTTGTTCACTTTCTCCGGAGAAAGAGATTTTATAAAGTTTGATTCGTACATGAAACGTGTGGTTTGTCACATCTAATATCTCGAATAAATGTGCTCAAGTGTATTCCAGAAGATGATTTCTTTCCAATAATCAGTGTCATTTAAAATGGATATTTGAAAACAACAATTTTTCTTAGAAGATCTCTTAACTTCCTGATCTATTCTTCTATACTTCATTTTTTCCGGCGATCCAGGGAAGATACCTTCGAAAAGTCACACGGGCAGAATTTGTCCAAACTCGTAGTTCCTCGCATGGCCCGGAAGGGAGGGAGAGAAGACGACTTCTCTTCCCAGGGTCTTAGACCGCCGTAACCCCGCCCCGTCCCACACGATTTTGCGCGTGAGCTATCAGCCTCGGGTCATGAGTCCTAACTGCTGTAATCATGTTGAAAGTCGGCGGAGCATGTCGTATTTTCTTGATTCTCCGCGCGTCCCCATTATCTCGGCCGTCATCCCCTGAAAGTGTTATGGCGGCCGCTCCCCATGCTGGAAGAGCGATTTCGCCGAATAATTACCCTCGTAAGAGCGGCTCCCTTGATCAGATTGGATCGCGTTCGCTAGAGGTCAGCGTTATTGGGTCTTCAAAAGTGCTGAGCCGTCAATAAACGAACGGTGGTTCGATTCCTCGAAGTGCATCGTTTAGTAAATGATCTGACATGTGACATTTTACATTTATGAATGCTTTTCCGTAGTAGATAGATATTGTATACATGTTTCGTTTAAAACTTTTAAGAATGTGTGGTTAGTTTGAAATCTGAGCGAACTTACCTACAAATGATGGTATATATTCGAGGGTTTTAGTAGGGGAATGTCAGGTTAAGCGAAAAGGGATTTGTTTAACTCCATAAGCCCTACAGAAAAACATTTATGCCCTTTACTACAGTTCCATCGTTCTGAAAAGATCCTTAGCTTTTCTTGGGTATAAACGTATCATTAAATATGACGTTTTTTTAAATTTATAACTGTTGAAAAGTAAAGTGGAAACTCGCTTTACTCAAAATTGGTTGGATAAACCTATAAATTGGCAAAACATAATAAAAGTGAACAAAAATAATACATTTTTTTCTCATAGCATTTTACTTTCTCGCACTTACTAACATAAGAGAACGTCTTGTAACCGTGCGCTGGAAAACGGCGAATTTTCAACACAAAACTCTTATTGGCGAGCTCTGGTAAGCAAAAGTAGATAAATCTAGTTGCTAAATATATAAAAAAATTCTCTAACACATGGTGCAGCCAAAATCCATGTTTTGTGGGACTATGATACCGCAAAATCGATTGACTGCAAAACATGTGCCTAAAAACAGTAGATCTAGATGTTGGTGCAAAGCAATCACAGGAGAGAATGTGTTTATCAAATATAGATTTTCAAATAACGTCGTGTTCAATTACTTGAAATATGGTTCATTTAATAACTTTGAACTAATTTGTAGGCAAAAATAATGGCTGGTTTCAATTTACAGCGCTTCGTTGTAATTCCCGACATTAGAATTTGAATATTTCATGTATCTTTGTTCGTTTCGTACATTCAAATATTGTTGTTCATTTACACATTAATATTTTAGAAAATATTTAAAACTTATTTGAAATACTGCTAGCTTTCAGGGAATATCCGATTGGATTGCTACACTGACTGGACAACAATGACTCGAAAGCGCATATTTGTGAATTGTGTCTTATTGTTACGTCACAATTTAATTACCTGAAAATCAGTTATAATTGTCAAATTTGTGTTGATATTTGCTTGAAAATATTTAGTCTATGACAAAACGCTATACAACTTGTAATGAGTAGGGTTGGGCAGTATTTAAATACTTGTATATGAAATACGTATTTTAAATAATTGATATGTTCATCTACGCCAATTGAATGATTTTTCCTGTGGAGCTTTTCGCCCACTAGGGGTTTATAGTCTAATGATTTCTTTGAAAAATCAGTCATTTGAAGGGAAATCCTATTTGTGTGAGACATATTTTGGAGATCATTTATATTTGAAATTGTTTATACTATGCTCACAATATTTATTGTTCAGAAATTTGTTTGACTGTCAATTACTAATTTACTGTAATTGACTGTACATTGTTGTAAGAAAATGTATCATACAAAATTGTCACATATTTGTGGTATTTTGACTAAAATTTGCGTCCTGGAATTAACTCCTAAATGTTGAAAAGTTGAAAACGTAAAAACTGCAAAATAACAAGCCATATTCCCAAAGGCAGACGTTTGCGCGTGTTTTATAGGATCAGGACGGAATCGCGCATGTCGTCAACACCGTGTGTGTAGCGAGTCCGAGTGACAAGTTACTTAACAAGAGTTCTTGCAATTCTCTCGGCGTACTGGGGGCAATGGAAGGACCCTCACTTCTAGAAAATCTTACCTTTGATATTAACCAGATTTTCAAAGAAGCTTTGGAATACAGCCAGAATTTGGAATTTAGAAAAGTTTTAAATTTTGGCAATTTTTGAAAAATCAGGGTTTTTATCGAAAATGAGACCTGCATAACTCGTATAAATGTCCATACTATTGAACAACAAAATTTAATCACTTTGGAGATTTTTTTAATAACGTCCCAGGGGCTTCATGTAAATGAGAATAGCTAAAATTTCAAATGATTAAACACCCATATATTTTTACAATTTATTTAAAAATGTATTACAAAAAAATTGTTACTTGTATAAGAATTATTACATAACTATTACTAAAGGCGAGAAAATATGTGCTGTTTTAACACCACTAGTTTTTTATATTTGTATTTTAAAATTTACACACAGATAATATAAATGAATAAATTAAAAGTAATTAGAGTTTCGATTTGATAAATAAAAATCGATAAAAATATAAATATTTATATAAATATTTATATTATTCACGAACTTAAAAACATGCATGTGGTCGCGTCAATGTGTCATAAAGAGCTCCCTGTGGTCATTACAGCGCTATAAGGTACCAACATGATGAGATTATGACTAAAGAAGAATTTTTCATTTTTACTTGCACTTTCCTATTTATTCAACTTCCCCTTATGCTCAAAAATTCAACCTCTAAAGCTTGGAATCTAAGACACTGGATGAGAATGAAGGTCGAGTGGTTGCGGTTCTAATTTCCGCTAATTTAATTAAAGTTGCCTTTTTCTGGTACAACAACCTGTGCAATCCATTATATTCTGTTCTCAATAATTTGTTATCATACTATTGTACCGTAATGAAACAAAGAAACGTATAAATACCGAATAATATTAATGTTAAAGCCTCTCTTTCTTTTACTTCCCCTCTACTTTCTCTTAATGCACTCCCTCTTCGCTCGTCCCAAGAGCACCTTCCTGTGTCGTGTGGAGTGGGAAGGAGCGAGGCTGGGGTGACCGCTGCCCCTCTTACTACATACGAGTGGCAGTTGCCTCGCAGCCGGCAACTCTCACCTCCCCCTCTTCTGCACTCACGTACAGATGCGCCCGCCTTTGCGGATCTTTCACATGGAGCAACTGCCCTTGTGCCTTCCCACGTCACTCTCACTGACGTCAGTTGCATTCACCCACAGAGGTTTCTTCTCATTCTCTCTCTCCTCCCTTCCCCACTCACTCGCCCACCTCGAGGATCCTGTCAATCAATGTTCGCTCGCGTTCATGGTCTGTTTGAAGGTTTCTAGGAATTGCGATGTCATGTCCGATCTTTCAATATCTATTTTATTTTCATGCGTACACAATCCAAAGTTTCCAGTTCCTCTCATTTTTTGACAATACCATTGAACCTGAAGAAATAATAATAGTTTTATTGAACAATCAGTATAGCACAAATTGTTTAACCTTGAGAACGATGACGGATGGGTCGAGATGAAAGTAAATAAATCCGTCTTTGTTGCTTTCCTCATTTTCTAGTTTCGACCAGCGTCCCGGCTGTAGCTGCCTCATCCCCTTTGCCGACCCGCCCTCACCTCTCTCCCCTCATCCATACTCCCGCCCTCGCCCAGCCCTCGCTCTGCCTCCT